GGGCGGCGCAGGACAGCGTACTCAGGGTGGATACGCCCAAAGAGCTGAGCCAGTCACCAAGCAGGTGGTGTGGTGCAACAACTGCAATAGCGAAAAACATTGCCCTCCCCCACTTTCTATCTACTTTTATTGTTTCTCAATTGACCAATGGAAACACAGGCCAGGATGGCTCGTCATCAACCTCTGGGCAAAAAGAGCTGGTTCAGATTAGAGAACGGGACTTTCCCTGCACTTAGTTTCTTTTTTCTCAAGAGGCCAGTGCTTTCCGAGAAAAGGCAAGGGAGGGATTAGTACCTCCTGCTCCTCTCCCCCGAGTGATTACATCAGTAACTTCCACACTCTGTAGACAAGTGATTCTCAAAGGGGGCAATACGTATGGGGCATTTTGGAAATTAATAGAGCAATATTTGGTTGTTCCAATTATGAGGAGTATTTAGGGGCTGAGGGCCAGAAGTTCCAGCCTACTTTGTGTGTGCACAAGCACGTCCACACACACGCGCAAAATATATTAAAAATCTGTTTATAATCTGGGCTCAAAATCACATGTAAAAATGTGTCTTATTTTTTATTTCTTGAACATACACTGACCATCTACTACTGGAGTTTTTCAGGAATGTAACTACCAGGCAACTCAAAGATGTTGTTTGAGGGAATTTTACCTAAAAATTCTCACCATTTCAGAGAATTATGCCAGAACCATCAATACTATATCTGAATCTGAACAACTGATGGGACTTTGACATATTGAAGAAAAGAAGTAGTTTCAAGGTCTCTCAAACCTTCTCCATTCCCTTCTGTTGATCTTTCTTTCAACAGAAGGGGTTTCCCTGAAGTTCTCCTGTTCTCCAGAAAGGAGCACAATTGTCTTCAATCTTCTTACTGAAACTTTACTAATTAGGGAAGATTAAACTCATTTCACAGATGAAAAGATTAAAAATGAAACACCATACTAGAGCCCCAAGAATTTTGTCCTAGGCCTGGTCTTTTGTTCATCTCACCTTGAAATCATTTACTATTCTAAATCACTTTGTAAGTGTCTTGCTATTTCCCTATTTCCCTCTCCCCTATGAAGAAGGCAATTAAGCCGCAGCCATCTGACTTTTCTTTGTTTTCATATTTTGTATAGCTCCATGTACATTTGCATTGTTAATAAATTTGTTAGGCTTTGCTCTTATTAACCTTTCTTTTGTTGTAAAGGTGTCAGCCATGAATCTTTGTGATGTGCAGCAAAGGGATCACTCCCTTTTCTGCTCTTACACCACCAATGCAGTCTATCTTTCAGTCTTAAATGCCACCATTCACAGAGATCTTGGGTCAGTTAAAAATAAGTGTTTTAAAAGGGGGAGGGGAGGAAGCTGGGTGAGGGGTGCATGCCTATAATCCCAGCAGTATGACAGGCAAGAGGATCTAAAATTTGTAGTCCACTTGGGGAACATAGCAAGAAGATGTCTCAAAGTTAATTAACTAATTGAAACTTGAAAGAGGGGAGTGTTGGGCTGGGGATGTGGCTCAAGTGGTAGCGCGCTTGCCTGGCATGCATGCGGCCCGGGTTCGATCCTCAGCACCACATACAAACGAAGATGTTGTGTCTGCCGAAAACTAAAAAATAAATATTAAAAATTCTCTCTCTCTCTTTAAAAAAAAAAAAAAGAGGGGAGTGTTGAGTCTGATTGAATTGAAAACTAGTGTACACTGGCGTCCTGGACACTTTGCCTACCTCGTTCTGCCAAACTTGAGTTGGTACTGAGTTTCTATCCTATAAATCTAACAGATAAAACTGATACACAAGTGGTTGTGGCACCATCACCAGTAAGAATCCTTTATTTTTATTTACAGGTAAGAAAACTGAGGAGTTAACAGAGATAAAAGGTGATTTTTTTTGGGGGGCGGGTACTGGGGATTGAACTCAGGGGCACTTGACCACTGAGCCACATCCCCAACCCTATTTTGTATTTTATTTAGAGACAGGGTCTCACTGAGTTGCTTAGTACCTCACTAAGTTGTGAGGCTGACTTTGAACTGGTGATCCTCCTGCCCCAGCCTCCCGAGCCACTGAGATTATAGGCATGCGCCACGACACCCAGCAAGAGGATGAACTTTGACAGGCAGAACTAGAATCTCCTGAAAATGCGATTAGACTTCATGAATTCCCTATGTAAAAAGGTTATTCTCAAAATTCCTGATGCTGACAAAAGGAAGTTTTGCCTGCAGGTCCATCCTTGGAGGAACTGTTAAGAGTAAGGGGTGGGGTTATAGCTCAGTGGTAGAGCACTTGCCTAACTATACCAGTAAGGCCCTGATTTGATCCTCAGCATTACATAAAAATAAAATGATTAAAAGTATTGTGTCCATGTACAACTAAAAAATATTTTTAAAAAAATAAAGAGGGGCTTGGGTTGTGGCTCAGCAGTAGAGTGCTCGCCTAGCACATGCAAGGCCCTAGGTTCGATCCTCAGCACCACATAAAAGTAAATAAATAAAGCAAAGGTATTGTGACCGTGTACAACTAAAAAACTTTTAAAATAAATAAATAAATAAAGAGTTAGTGAGGACCATCTTGTTGTCTAAAGCCTATTAGGAAAAATGATTCAGCAGTTCAGTGCTAAGAAATTTTCCTATATTTCCCTGCTGTAGTTTTAGATAATTTGTTCTAATTAGCTGTGCAAATAAAGAACCACTGAAAGTAAATGGCATCGCCTAGAGCTTTACATCTTACAGAGACATTCTCATTATTATCACCTTCTCAGAACAACCTTGGGAACGCTGCCAGGTGAGTAGATACTCCATATTTATTGAACAAAAAAATTGAATGAATAAATGAATTGTGACATAGGAATAATTGTCCCATTTTGTGGATATGATGACTCTATTAGTCAGCTTTGTATCATAACAAAACACCTGACACAGTCTACTTAATAAAAAGATTTATTTAGTTTATTGTTTTTCTAAAAAGCATAGCCCAGGCTCTGTGATGAAGGCTGACTCTTTGTCTGCATCACCACATGGTGAATTTGAATACAGTAATTCTCGTGGTGCCAATAGCAATGAAAGGAGTGCATGCAGGAGAAAACAAGTGATTGATCTCAAGCCAGAAGCAGATAGCATAGGAGGGGCTAGGCATCCTCTTTTCATAGTAAACCGCTCAGAAGAACCCAAGAGGTCTCATGGGAACTACCTTCTGAGAGCATACACCCAGTGACCTAAAGACATTGCTCTAGGCCCCACTGTCGGAGACCAGCTCCAACAGGGGGTCTCAGGAGACGAAAGGATGGTGAGGAGTCGGCGAAAGGGGGGTGGAGAAACAACACAGACACCAAAGTGAAGGTGTTGATCCCAATCTTTACTTGTGAAGTTGATCATATATACTTTTCATTTTGGCAGGCTCACAGTACTTTGTAGGTTACAAAACAGGAATCATTATTCAAAGAAACAAAATATTAAGTAGCTACAATTAGAAGAACGTATCTTGGCTTATGCAAAAGCAAGCATTTGTACTTTCAGTTCGCGTTTTGCTTTGAGCTGTTTCTGCTTAGTTAACTTTTAATAATAGTTACAAATGTCCCAAACTATTGGCCTATACCTTGACTATTCTTTCTTGACTTACTGACTGGAAACGGTGCCATGGTTATGGCAAGTGGTTGACTTGTTATTAATTTTAATCAAACAAGAGTAAGAGCACAAACCATTGTGCACAGGAACAAGAACAAGTTGCCCAGTACTAAGCACTAATCTGTCTTCTTAACATTAATTTTTCTTCTCTAGATTTTAATTTAATTTCTCAAAAACTTCCTTGGCAGGAATACAGGGAGTTTTTCATTAGACATTAACAATTTACGCTCCACAGCTGAATCATTGCATTTAGAGCAAACAGATCTATTCTTTAGAAGTAGTTGCATTAATTGGGAAAGTCATGTTTTTTCCTTCATACTTAATTTTCATATGAGAAGTCGCAACTATACTTATTAAAGGAATACAAAAACAAACCAGCCCATTCCCAGAAACATACTGCGCTCCTCCAGAGGATGGACGCCTTGCGCCATCCTCCTCAGTAGGACCTTGCCATTGCCTGAGTCAGGGGAGGGGCGCAGCACCCCACCTCTCAAAGGTTCCACCACCTCCCCAAACTGCCACCCTGGAAATCAAGACTCTAACCACAATGGACTTTTGAGGACACAATTAAGCCATATCCAACCTAAGATTGGGTCAGGAATTTTCCAGTTCCCTTTGTGAAATTAGGATTCAAACTTAGTTCTGAGCCTACTGGTATTCAAATTCTAATGCTAACCCCTTAGAAACTTTGAAGTTGTAATGGGAGTTTGGGATTACATGTGTTAGGGGCCCACCAGAGGAATTTAATAGGAAACTCACAGTAGCAACTGATGCCCCAATTCAGATCTGCCCCAGTGAGCCAGTTCCCAGCTTTTGCCTATTGTGCCAACAATTAGCACCTGTACATTGCTTGAGGATACTGGAGAGAACTGGAAATTTTAAGTTTCATGCCATCCCATAGCCTGATATAGCCAAAGACAGGCTGTTGTGGATTACCAAAAGCCAGATCCTTTGCTTTGAGGCAGGACAAATTCTAAGGTGTGTTCTTTGTTATATAGAGGTCCCTGTGGGAAAAGGCTGTGTGGAAACTTCTAATATCACACCCTCACTTGGCTTCTGTCCTTCGCCATCCACTGCTTTACTGCTTTTCTTCCCCCGTAAAAGCCCTTTCTTAATGCACCACAGTGATGTGCAGGCTTCAATTGTGCCCTTGTGCTTCACCAACAAGATATAAATATATCTTCAGTTATATTTTTTAATCATCTATATTGTGGAGAACTAAAGGTGAATAACTACATCCAGTTAATGAGAGATATATGGAGTTTCCTACAGGATTAAGGCTTGATATATGATCAACTCTTACATTCAATTATATTTACTAGTTCGTTTGTTTTTTCTATCAGCCCTTCTTGTGGAACTCCAAAATATAAAAATGGCTTTTATGCATAAGGTTTCCAATCAAAGTAGTCATAGATAGTTTATTATTTCTTATAAGACACCTATTACCCAAATGTTAGTCTATAATTTCTGAATTTTTTGCTGGACACCAGGGAGAGACAAACACAAGGATAGTTCCTAAAGTAGAATTATTAAGAAGACTACTATTACATCATTGCAACTTCCTACGTGCATAAAGTGTATTTGCATATCAACTTGAGAAAGAAAGAAAATAATTCGAAATTAGTCCAGTCCAAATAAAGCATCTTCAGTCCTGAAAGAAAGAAAAAAGAAAAGGAAAAAAATTTGTGAATGCATTTACTTTATTTGGATTACAGATCCCACCATCAATTTGTCTAACTTCTTCAATGTAGGTCACCTTTTTAGAAGTGGCTACAGAAAATTTTCAAAACCCATTACAAAGAACATATCCCAGTAATTTATTCTATCAGTGCTCCCAAAATCTTAGAGGAAAGAATTCTAATATTAGAGTTTATGTCCTGGCTTTGCCATTTAATAACTGTATGACTGTGCAGATAACCCAACTTCTCTTAAATAAATTTTTCTGTCCTAAAGATAATAGATTTGAATGGGTTTTCAGCATCAAGATATCCTGGGCAGTAAAATTTCATTGAAAAGCTGAATTTTCTACCACTACTGGAATGCAGCTGAAGATATCAAGAAGTCAAAGTTTCTCCTTCTTTCATGCTTCTAGAGCTCCTTGTAATTACATCTATTATAGATTTTTACAGGGAATATAAACCAGTCTGTTTCCATTTCTTTCCTCAAGTGGCTAGGAGCTTCTTCAAGGCAAACAGAGCACCCACACACTGAGACTGAACAAGAAACTGAAAGAATAGGACATCTGCAGAACTGTGTCACCCCTCTCTTCTGGATGAAGAACAAAACAACTGCTATGTGTTTTTTGTTTTTCTTTTGAGATGAGGTCTCTCACTAAATTGCTGAGGCCAGTTTCAAACGTGCAATCTTCTTGCCTTAGCCTCCTGAGTAGCTGGAGATTACAGGCATTCACCACCATGTCCAGTGTGAGAATAATTCATTTTTGAGGTCTTTTTCTATGCAGAAACGCCTGATATGAAAATGACAGAAGAAAGATCAAACCCTTGCAGGTGGTGTGGGTAATCAGCTGCCTCTATCCAGCCACATCTCACTGGCAGCTCCTCTGTCTTCCTGTTACAGGGTCAGTGATGCTGACAGAGTCACACCTGGGACCACAGGCCTTCCTCATGCCATTCCACAGGAGAAAGGAATATGACCCAGGAATGTGACTCAAAGAATTCTTTACCTGCTAACATGCTACCTTAGTTAATGTCCTCCATACAGTGAAGATTATCATGTTAGAGTTGTCTCTAAATAGTCCCTAGGATAATAAACAAAAACATTTCTTAAAGTCAAAAACCCACCTCTGTGTTGTTGGTTAGTCCCAGGATGCTGGTTAGTTGTCTCGGTCTATGAAAAAGAAAATGGGAAACATTAAGCTTTACTTTTTAAGATACTATGTACTAACAAATGTCCCAAACTGTGTAGCTTTGAACACTTGTAGACCCAATCCTGCCTACTGGCCTCAGAGCCAAACCCAGCCAGTATTAAAGGAGTCCAGGTTTCTAGGTGTCAGGACAGTGGGATTTATAGGCGAAGACCTGTGCCTCCCTGTGATGCTTCTTGGTGCCAAGTGTCCATAAGGCTGCCAGAAAAGCTAGAGGAAGCCAACAGTGGTAAGAAGCACTGGGAGTGCTGCTGCTACTCCCTGCTCTCACTACGAGGACCCCACTGGCTCAGGGAATATGCCATGCAGAAGTCTCTCAGAAGGTGCCACTCATCAGTGCTTTAGAAACACTCCCTGACAATCCCAGTATACAATTTTTTTTTTTTTTTAAATACAGAAAAAGCTTTAAGCTGTGACTCTACTTAGGAATAACTTTCAACAGCTAAGGAAAAAACCTGAAAACTTACCCCACTTCACTATCTTGGGCTCCTTCAGAGTTTCATGTGTAACTCTGCATGCGTATTCATCTTTATCATTGGGGGTGAATTCAGTGTGCACCAGAAGATAGAAGGACCAGTCCTTGCTGAAAGAGAGGTCCGACTGCTCGACTTTTTCTATCTTCTGTCCGTTTTTCAACAGATCTATTTGAATCTGGGGTGGATGAAACCCAGATACGTAGCAGTTGAGGAAGTTCGGTTTTCCATTCTCAGCTGGGTGCCGTGTATAAACTTGAATTTTCGGAGAACCTGAGAAACATCAGGGAAAGACAAAATAAATTTGTCAAGAGTATTTTACTTGGAGCTAACTCGGTCTCAAGTTAGGCACCAAAGGTTAAATTTGACCTATTTGTCCGGATGCCATTTCCACTCTGGCCAAATGAGTTTCTACTCTCCCAATAGGCTACTCTATTTCGTGAAACAGAGTAGAACTTACTATGTTTCCCACATAATTGTTCTCTATATGCTTTTTGAGTTTTGTTTGTTGGCTTGTTTGGTTTTAGTCTCGTTTTGTTTTCTAGCTGATTTCTACCAGTATCTTTGGTTACTGGAAATTATTTTAAAGAAACTTTCTGGGCAGCTCTCAAGAATATTTAATGTCCTCTCAGTACCCATTGAATTTCTTAATACATCACTCAAGGTCCCAACCTACTTTTCAAACTTCATTTCTCATTTAATATACCCTGCATAGAAGCTACATCAAATTATTCACGCTGTTGTACACTACTTCAACCCCTTACATTTTCTTTCCTATGTTTACCCACTTCCTTTTTGGTTCCTGCTTCTGCCTACATCTATGCCCATCTGACTTCCTAATGTATAATAAGTGTCTAGTACAGTGACTAGCACACAGCAATTGCTCTGTAAGTAGCAGAAGTTATTATTATTACCTCCTGGCTCAGCTTCCTATGCAAATCAAGCCAACATATGTTGAGACCAAACATAACCTGTTTATTCCTGCCCAGTGTTTATATGTCAAATCTCTGATTACATGAGCTAGAAAACAAAGAAACAAAAATGACTAAGTCCCTAAGCAAATTCGCGAGACCCTGTCTCAAAATTAAAAAAATATAAAGGACTGGTGATGTAGCTCAGTGGTAAAGCTCGCCTGGGTTCAATTCCCAGTTTAAAAAAAAAAAAAATTAGCCGGATGCAGTGGCGAGCCTGCCTATAATCCCAGCGGCTCGGGAGGCTGAGACAGGAGGATCTGAGTTCAAAGCCAGCCTCAGCAACTTAGCAAGGCACTTAGCAACTCAGAGAGACCCTGTCTCTAAATAAAATATATTTTTAAAAAAGTCTGGGGATGTGGCTCAGTAGTTAAGCATCCCTGGGTTCAATCCCTAGTATCAAAAACCAAAACAACAACAACAAAAAAAATTAAATGCCTACAAGAGTTGGTTTTATCCCCAATACCAACACCACAAAGAAATAGAAAAAAAGCAAAAAAGCATTTATTTTGTTCAGGGGTCAGAACACAACTTCATCCTGCCCAGAATTCTCTCTTTGAATGAAGCAGGCAGAATTTTGCAAGAATATCACTATAATGTCTTCTAGGATAAAGACAATATCGAGCTAGGTTTGAATTTGGCCAAGATCTGTGGGCTCAGTCACTTACTAGCCTTGTGACTTCGGGAGAATTACTTAAGTTTCCAAAGCTTAACTGAAAAATTAATCCATGCCTACAGTAAAACAAAAAAACTCACATACAAACATGGGGAAAATAGATCTTTAGAGGCAATCAACATTGAATATTTCTTGTGTATTTTCCAGAAATGAACTAGGTATCTTCTTTGGAATTTTTCAAAATGACTTTTTTACTGGTACTTTATAATTATACATAATAGTGAGATTCATTATGCTATATATTGGTACTAGCACATAATATAATTTGATCAATCCAGGGCAATCCCTATTGGGTCCTTTCAAACCCTATGTGAGCTGTCTCTTTTCTTCTCACTTGAAAAAAATCTTACTCTTTTATATTCACTCTTACTTGTCTTTGGATTTCATTCTTCAAAATCTTGAGACAAGAAGTTGAAGTCTCTGGCAGGGAGCTAGGATCAGCTGTAACATTACATACAGCAGTAGAGGCTGAAAATCTCATTTCATCTTTTGGGGGTTTGTCCAGGATTCTTGGAAGGCATGATCCCTGTCTAATGTATACCTGACCAATCACCCACCAACGGTCACCATGGATCCCGGATACACAAGATATCAAGCTACAAATGGCCGTACAGATGGAATCCAAGATGAACTCCCCATCTACCAGGGACCCTTAGATAGGCTCCCATAGGAAGTAACCAGAGTGGTCATCACCCCTATCCCTAATGGCAGTTAGGGGCTCTTCTTCAGAGGGAGGAAATGAATAAGATAGAATAGGATAGATAGGATGGATGGATGGATAGATAGATAGATAGATAGATAGATAGATAGATAGATAGAAAAACAGGCAGTTAAGAAAATGGGCCCCTGAAAAAGAGGTTTCTCTACATGAACAGGCTACTCCATGAAATATAGGAACATTCCAAACATTCCAGCCAACTCCTTTGTTCCAGAACAGTGGGAAAAATGAGATGGGCCAGATCTGAGTGAAGGTTACTGACTTAAGGGCTAACCAACAATAGCCTTAGCACTTTTCCTGATTAGCACAGAAATTGATCAATGCCCCTACCCCTTGACTAGTACACTTAAGTGGCAACCCCTATCGGGTCCCCTCTCGGCCTGTAGGAGCTATGTCTCTTTTCTTCTCACTTCAATAAATCCTACTCTTCAATACTCAAAAAAAAAAATTTTTTTTTGATCCATCTCATTCCCCAGTAACTTTTCTTTCCCTCCCTCTGAATATATGTATATCATATATATACGTGTGTGTATATGTGTATGTGTGGTGTGTGTGTGTGTGTGTGTGTGTGTATATATATATATATTTTAGAGACAGGTTCTCACTAAGTTGCTTAGGGCCTTGCTAAGTTACTGAAGTTGGCTTTGTACATTCAATCCTCTTGCCTCAGCTTCCCAAGGCACTGGGATTATAGGCATGTGCCACCCTGCCTGGCATTCTTCCTTCTATTTTCATGAGATTCCATATTCTTGCTCTGCATATGAGAGAAAAGATTTGAACCTTAATTTTCTGAGTCTAACTTATTTCAGTTAGCATGATGTTCTCCAAATTCCATCCATTTCCCCACAAATAACAATTTCACTTTTTTTTGTGTGTCTGAGTAAAACTCCATTGTGTATGTATGTAGGTATAGTGTACCAGAAAATGTGGGGTGTGTGTGTGTGTGTGTGTGTGTGTGTGTATCTCACTGAGTTGCTTAAGGCCTTGCTAAATTGCTGAGGGATCAACCACCCCCCCTCCCCCATTCTTATTCCTTTTTTTTTTTTTTTTTTTTTAATTCCTGGTCTTTTAAGGAATCTCCATACTGCTTTCTAAAGTGGTTGTACTAATTTGCATTCCCATCAACAATGTATCAGTGTATATTTTCCCTCACATCCTCACAGCAATTTTTATTTCTTTTTTTAATTTTTCAGTACTGGGGATAGAACCCAAGGGCACTTTAGCAATGAGTTACACCCCCAGCTCTTTTTAAGTTGCTGAGGGCCTTGGAAAGTTGCTGGGGCTGGCCTCTGATCTTCCTGCTTCAGCCTCCTGAGTCACTGAGATTATAGGCATGGGCCACCATGCCCAGCTGTTCTGTGTATTCTTGGTGATTGCCATTCTAACTGAGATGAGATGAATTCTCAGTGTTTTTGTTGTTGTTGTTTGTTTGTTTAGTTGTAGATGGACATCATACCTTATTTTCTTTATTTTTATGTGGCACTGAGGATCAAACCCAGTGCCTCATGCATGCTAGGCAAGTGTGCTACCACGGAGTTACAACCCTAGCCCTCTCAGTATACTTTTGATTTGCATTTCCCTGATTGCTAAGTATGTTGAATATTTTTTCATATGTTAGCCATTTGTATTTGTTCTTTTGAGAAATATCTATGTAGATCATTTACCCATTTATTAATTGGGCTATTAGCTTGCTTATTGTTTTGGGTGTTTTTTGAGTTCTTTATATATTCAGAATAAGATTTTTAAATGTCAGGTTGCTATTTTTTTAAATGACACCTATCATCACTAGATACATTATTCTTTATTTTGTAAATAAATTTTATTCAAATTAATTACCATTTTCTTATGATCAAAACACTGTTTCACAGGGGATTTGTAAGGGAAAAAGTTGAGAAGTTCCAATTTGTCACCGAGTATTTAAAAAGCGCACAAAATCCTGGGTGTCCGGATGAGTCTTGGTAACCATCTTGAATTACCCTTACCTCCCTGACTTTGACCAATAGTCATGTTTTCAAAACTGAAAGTGGAGGCTTCCTATATCTTGGAAAGAACCAGGCAAGTTGCCAAAAAGGAAGCTCTCTATGAAGAAAAGGCAAGGAGGGCCCTTGATCACCCATCTTGCTTCAGAGAACTTAACACAGGAAGATGAGGAGGCAGGTTTCTGAAAAAACGGTCACACCCAGCCCCATGAAGGTTCATGTCTGTAATCCCAGCGACTGGGAAGGCTGAAGCAGGAGGATTGCAAAATGGAGACCAGCCTCAGCAATTTGGCTACGCCCTAAACAATTTAGCAGTACTGTGACTTTAAAATGTAAAGTAAAAAGGGCTGGGTATGTAACTCAGTGGTAAAACACCTCTAGGGAAGAAAGTGGAGAGGGAAGACGAGAAGAGGGAAGAGAAGGAGAAAAAGAAAAAGAAAAAAAGATGGGTTACAACCAAAATGCCTAGCTACCTACCACAAAGGCACTGGTCAGGCTCAATTTCAATCCTAATTGTTATTTATCGCCTGTGATTAAGTGGCTTAAAATTTTGGTGCCCCAGGTCGACCCCAGAAGCTTAGTGAGACCCTAAGCAAGTTAGCAAGCCCCTGTCTCTAAATTAAAAAACAAACAAACAAAAACAGAAAGGTCTAGGGATATAAGGTTAGTGATAAAGTGCTCTTAGTTTCAATCTCCAGTACAATCAATAAATAAATCTTGATACCCCAGTTTTCTCAGGTGCTTGATTCGGGTAATCATAGTATTTACATCCATTTTCAAAGTTAATCACATAGGGCTGAGAGTGTGGCTCCGTGGTAGAGCACTTTCCTGAGCATGCACAATGCCCTGGGTTCAATCCCAAACACCGTTGGAAAAAAAAAAAGCAACACTGATATAAAGTATGTACAGTCCTTGGCATACAGCAAACTGTAATAACGGGTAGCTTTTAGAATTATTAATAAAGCAACAAGTAATGAGAACAGCGTTTGCGCGCCTTGGTTTGGTGCCACTGGATCATTAGAAGAAAGTGTACCTAGCCGGGCGCTTCCAGTCTGAAGGAAGCAGAGTTGTCGCGGTTTGTCTTCCCGTGGGTTGTGTCTTCCACGTACCCCAGACACCGGTTTCCACTCATTCACAGCCCCCAACTCCGTGTCTCTGGGACTGGCCTATTCGCCCCATCCTACCGCTGCGCTCCGGGAGCCAGAGGAGGTGCGAAGTGGGGAGGAAAACCCTCTCCATCTCGGGGGGGCTCTAAAACTTACCCAAACCCGCAAACTCGGTCAAGATCCACCTTGTCCCAGCAGCCAGAGGTCTCCCTCGATCCTCGAGCAAAGGAGCAAGAAGTAGGCGTTCTGGGCTTTCACTCCCTTCCTAATCCCCCGCCACGCCACGATTTACGTAGAGACCGAGCCCTGGTCCCCACTCTGGGAAGAACTTGGAGTTAGAGTTAAGAGACTGCCAAAGGATCACAGAGGGTGGTGTTAAGAAGAGACACTTACGCGGGTCAGCGTCCAGACCGGTCAGAAAGAGTAGCATGAACAAGGCCAACGCCACCGCCACCGCCACGGAGCGAGACATTGCGACTCGAGCAAAGTCAAACGCAAAATGCAAGCCCGGCGGGGCGCGTCCACTTAAATTCCTTGAGCACACAGCCAATCAGGACCCGGCCCGCGGGGCGCGTCACCAGTCTCCTAGCTTGCGACGCCGGGCCAGGTTAGAGAGAGGGATTTTCCCCTTTTCAGTTTCATTTTCTCATAAAGTCTCGTGATGTTTAGAATGGCAATAGGTTGGACTGTACATAGACGTCCTCTGATCTGGGGTACGCGCCTCGGTTTGGGGTATCAGGCCACCCATCCTAGATTCTGGCTGGAAGTGCCTTTATCCAGGGCCCTTCCAGAGATGCTAAAAGATTTGCTAACTGTGCCCCTGTCAGTGAAAAACCTAGAACCTGATGTTTTCATTCTTGGAAAATGATGTCCAGAAAGATTAAGAGCGCTAAGCAGTGACCGACAGAACTCAAACTTTGGTTGATAACTACAGCCCAGGAATACATTGGGAGGTTTCAGGATTCTCTGCTCAAGGGGTTAAAAAAAAAAAAATCAGGAACCAGAGAACTGTTCAGATCTAGGACTTTTCTTGCTTCTTGAAAAGGTTTAGGGAAGAGGTTTTGTTTGTTTTTTTATTGGGGATTGAACCCAGGGGATCTTTACCACTGAGTCACATTCCCAGCCCTTTTTATTTTTTAAATTGAGATAGGATTTCACTGAATTGCTTAAGGCCTCACTAATTGTTAAGGTTGGCCTTGAATTTGAGACCCTTCTGCCTCAGTGTTTCTAATCCATAGGATTACAGGTGAACCACCACACCCCGCTGGGAAAAGTTTGTTTTTGGAAAGTTCTGTGCAGAGAACTTCCTTCTTGAATCTTCACTATTGTTTAGGTAACTTTCTTTGTTCAGTTGATTTGTGTGTATAGGGGTGGGGGTTGGGGTTGGGGTGGTGACCACTGACAGTAAAAGTAATAACTACTTAGAGCTGGAGAGTTTCCAGATCTCTTCAGGTATTTCATTACCTTGGCATTACCAACCTACACAACAGTGCTTGGGCCATAGTAGGTATTCTGTAAACTGAATGAGTGAATCCATTAATAAACTTTAGGTCATAGAATTATCCCTATTCATTTTATGGACAGGGAAAATAAAGGCTAAGAGGATGTCCAGATTCCCTTGGCATTCATGTTTTATTCACTTAGAAGACCAGAGCCTGGGCAATTTTAGTGAAACTTTGAATTGCATCTGCCATAGGTCCAAGAAGAAAGTTCACCCCTGACAGTAAGAGCATGACAATGATGAGCAAACTAAGAAAACCTATACTCTAAGATAGTATGAATAAGTGAGCAAGGAGTGGTGTCACACACCTGTAATCTCAGTGACTCAGGAAGCTGAAGCAGGAGGATATCAAATTCAAGGCCAGCCTCAGCAATTTAGGGAGGCTCTCATCAACTTGGTGAGACCCTGTCTGAAAATAAAAAATACCAACAATGGGGATGTGACTCAGTGGTTAAGCACCCCTGGGTTCAATTCCCAGTACCAAAAAATAAAATAAATAAGGTGATGCCATTACAAGGGGCCAAGTCCACACTAGTCTTTACAGAGTAGAACATTGAAAGAAGGAAGTGGACCATGGACACCAAGAGTAGCCCATATCTTGGAAATCCCCATAGTGTCAGTTTAAAGGGAATTGATTGCACTGGGCTTCCCCAAGGAGAAGAACAAATAACTTCTGGATTTCTTTTATAATATTTTTTTAACTTTAAATAATCCCTATTGTCGAGGTCATGTCTAAACTAGAGAAAGTGGAATACTCTCCACAGATTTAAGGTAATGAGATAATGCACAGAGAGATCCTTTAACAGTGGCCTAGCATATAGTAGTGTTCGGTAATGTTTAATAAGAACTATAATTATTAATGTTATTTCACTAGTTTTCCTATCAGCTCTTTTTGAAATACAAGAATAATTGTAATGTATGAAGTTATGAGTTAACACACCACCCTCCCAACATCACCCTTTAAAAATCTCATTTAAGATGCTTAAAGACTAAAATATTAGTGTTGAATTGTACTGGAAAACTGTAGTGTTGAATTGTACTAGAAAAATGCTTTAGGAATATAGAAAAGGACAGGGTTTTGTTTGTTTGTTTTCTTGCCTCCAGTTTCTTTTTTTCTATGTCACAGAAAAATACTAAACTTAAAATTCATTAAAGATAGATTCTGGTATATTCACTTAGGAAGCCAATTTAAAAGTCAATTAAAAAACAACAACAGGGATTGGGGTTGTGGCTCAGCAGTAAAGCGTTTGCCTAGCATGTGCAAGGCCCTGGGTTCGATCCTCAGCACCAAACAAAAATAAATAAAATAAAGGTATTGTGTCCAACTACAACTAAGAAATAAATATTTAAAAAAAAAAAAAAAGACTGGCACTAAGGAACATGCCTATAGTCAGCTATATGAGAGGCTGAGGTCACTTGAGCCCAGGAGTTTAAAGTGGATCTGGGCAACCAAGTGAGACCCTGTCTTAAAACAAAAACAAAGAGCCATAGGAAAGACAGAGAAAATTTTGTTTCTCAATCTTCTGAATGTGGGAAATCTCTGTATTTTTCTTGGATTTTCATTTATGACATTCTTCAAATAGTGAGGATGAAAAGAGAATAAAACTATTTTTTTTTTTTAAAAAGAGCACTGTTTTCTTGGTGGGGAGCAAACTTTGGAAATGTACAAACATGACAATTGAAGAGTGTTATTACCTGGGAGACTAACAGATGGCTTGTGTGTGTGTGTGTGTGTGTGTGTTTTGCCTGTATGAATTTCTTTAAAACTTTTTGCAGGGGCTGGGGATGTGGCTCAAGCGGTAGTGCGCTCGCCTGGCGTGCGTGTGGCCCGGGTTCGATCCTCAGCACCACATACAAACAAAGATGTTGTGTCCGCCAAAAGCTAAAATGAATATTTAAAAAATTAAAAAAAAAAAAAACTTTTTGCAGTGAACATTTATACAAAAAAAAAAAAAAAAAATCACCAGGTGCTGCCCATGCCTGTATTCCCATCAACTCAGGAGGCTGAGGCAAGAGGATTGCAAGTTCAAAGCCAGCCTCAGCAACTTAGTGAGGCCCTATGTCACATAGCAAGACCCTGTCTCAAAATGAAAAAAATAAAAAATAAATGTTGGCAAGAATGCAGAAGAGTCAGAATGCTCATGCACTTCTAGTAAGAAGGTAAAATGGTATAAACACTTGGAAAGCAATTTGATAATTTTTTTAAAAGTTAAACATACACTGGCCTTTAGACCCTGTCATTCCATTTAAGGTATGTGCCAAACAGAAAATGAAAGCATGTCTGTACAATGACTTGCACATACATGTTCATAGCAGCTTTATTTTTAATAGCCATAAACTAGAAGCAATCCAAACAGGTATCAACAGGTGATGGATAAACACATTGTAATGTACATCTATACAATAGAATTCTACCAGCAATAAACAAAAATTGAACCATTGAGACAACAACATGAATGAAATTATGCTGAGTAAAAGAAACAAGAGTACAACTGTATGATTCTGTTTAAATGAAACTCTAGAAAAGATAAGCTAATCTAATAATGACAGAAAGCAGTTAAGTGGTTTCCAATCAATGGGCAAGGAGGGAGCAGAAAAACCAGGAAGAAATTTTCAGGATGATGGATTTGTTCATTATGTTATGTTTGATAATGGTTTCAGAAGTGTGTACATATGTTATAATTTATTGCATACTCTCTTTTTTTTTGCAGTGTTGCGAATTGAATCATAGTACACAAGTGCTCTACCACAAAGCTACATCTCCAGCCATTTTTTTTTTTTTTTGGTTTGTTTTTGTTGAGTTTTTAATTTTTTTGAGACAGGGTCTCACTAAGTTGCTCAGGATGGCCTCAAACTTTCATCCTCCTGCCTCAGTCTAATGAGTAGCTGGGATTAAAGACATGCACAACCATGCCCTGCTCACTTTACATTTTGATTTATTGCATGTCAATTAGAATTGTTTAAAATGTCAACCCCTGGTGGGCACCGTGGTGCACTTCTGTAATCTCAACACTGGAGGCTGAGAGAGGGGGATTTCAATTTCAGTTCAAGATCAGCCACTGCAATTTAGCAAGACCCTGTTCCAAAATAAAAAATAAAAAATGGCTGGGGATACAGCCCAGAGGTAAAGCACCTCTGGGTTCAATCCCCAGTACCCACTCCTACCCCCACCACACAGGCACACACACAAGCCCTGAAAGCACAGATACCTACATTGTGTTAGGTTTAAAAACAAAACAAAACAAAAAAACCCTGAATGGATCTCTGTCAGCAGGTTTTTCTTCTTGTTATTGGTACTAGGGATTGAAACCAGAGGTGCTTAGCCACTGAGTCACATCCTCAGTCCTTTGTAAATGTTTACTTTGAGACAGGGTCTCACTAAGTTGCTGAGGCTGGCTTTGAACTTTATGATCCTCCTATTTCAACCATCCAAGCCACTGAGATTACAGACATGTGCCACCCCGTCCAGCTCTATCAGCAGTTTTCTGAGCCAGAAAAGCAGGCCCACTAAGACAAAAGTACAAGTATTCATAGGACATTTATAGTGGTCTCTTTCAAATTTTATGTCGTTAAAGTCTTACTATTCAAAGTGTGATCCAAGTATCAAGAGCATCAATAACACCTTGGATCTTTTAGAAATGCAGAACCTTAGGTCCATCCCAGACCCACTAAATCAGAATCACCTTTCAACAACATCCCTGGTGATTTATGTACACACTAAAGTGTGTAAAGCTGCTGGCCCAAACTACACAAAAATCTATATTTCTACATTTACATTTACAGATAAGATAAAAACTCAGGTAAATAAGATACTTGCCCAAATTGGCACTGAGCTGGGATTCAAATGCTAGCCCATCTGATTGCAAACTTTAATGTTTTCCACTAGAAAAATCACACAAACTTGTTGTTAAAAAAAAAAAAAAATCACCAGGTATTGCTCATGCCTTTTTCCCATCAACTCAGGAGGCTGAGGCAAGAGGATTGCAAGTTCAAAGCCAGCCTCAGCAA